CAAGCAAACCATTAAATGATTCATAAATATTTTCGTAAAAAGCTTTAATACTAATTTTAAATAGATTATATATTTGATATTTTTGTGGAGAATATTAAACACAAATATTTCAAAATAATATAAATTAATAAGTGTATAATTGATTTACACTTTCAGTAGCAAAAAGACAAAAAATTATATTCTAAGCTTTTAATGATTTTCGAATGGCTATAAGATATATGAACAAATTTATAACTTTACTAAATATAATATAATAGAAAATTAAAAAAAAGAAAAGTGAATAAAAATATTTATTTATGACTAAACCAAATGTTTTAATCTATAAAGGTGATCTCATGTGGGTGTTCGATTTTTTCGTAATAAATCACAAATTTCATTTGACAAATATAAATCTTAGTCATATATGATGATCCGTCACTTAATGTGCATTTCTTAATATGCAATTAATATAAATTATTAAAACTTAAATTAACTATTATTTTTTAGTAGTTAATAACATAATCTTTTGTTAATGATTTAATAAAACTATTTTATATTAAATTCAGCAAAAAATTACTGAGTCGTTTTTTTTTTAATTGACGAGATTCTCACTTCATGCGTGCTATATTCTTCTCTTTCATAGAATTCAGATTCGTCTAATCATAAATCTTACATACGGTCATTACACTCAAAGCTTTTCTATCTTATATATACAATTAAAATATTTATGCATATCTGTAAAGCAAATACAAAAGATGTATATATATATACAAGTAACCAGCTACAATATAATTATATGTACACATATTGTTATTTTTTCTATTGTGATATGAAAAGGAAATACTTCATATATATTTAAGTTTTATGAGTCACAGACTTAAATAAACTTGTGGAAAATATTTTTCTGCGATATTTTAAATTCCAAAATAATTATGAAAATCACTTTATTATTCAAAGAATAAATTGATTATATAGGCAATCGTTTATGTAAATAAGCTTTTAGTCTTAAAACTCTTTATATCTCTGAATAGAATATTAATTTATCACCATAATATTTTTTTATAGAATAACACAGTAATGTTAAAACATTCAATACTTATAACAGAAATAATTAATTAAATTACAGATTTTTTAAAAATTAATTAAAGTTTCAAATTATTTATTATTTGATATACAAATAAACATTTGAAAAAAAGTTCTTCAATATTATTTACTAAAGTAATTAAATAAATTAACGAACATGTTTTCACTACCTCATAGCCTAATAGTACTTAGTTGTTTAAATATCCTTTCTATATTCTATATTCCAGATTAATTACTAACAACTAAAACAGTTAACTACCTACTACTATTCGCACTATATATGTTAATGAATTTTGTACATATAAATAAACTCCTATGGGACATAAGACAACATCAATGTTGTTGCAAAATTGTTTTTTTTTTTTTATTGTATGTAGTTTTTGCATTTAAATACTTGCGAAAATATAAATGTGGTTATGGTTTTTAGTTGGAGAATGAAGTTATCGTTAAACGAAAGGTTTTTGTATAAACATTTTTTAAGTTAAAAGCTTATATATATGGTAATATATAGCTTAAAATAGATCTATCTTGATTCTGCTAACGCCATAGTATCATATATCTTATGTTGTAACATTTTCAAGCTATTGCTTCTTCACGTGACTTGCAGAATTGCAGTTTGAATGATTACAAAAGTGGTAATGAGAGCTATGCTCCTGATCTTATCAGGAGTAATCATACGAAAAATAGTTAGAATTTATTGATCTTATCTTTGTCTAGGACGACAAACAAATCTACTGTCTGTTAAGAATATGATTTTTTTATTATTCATCTTTTCGCAAATATTGCGAAATTAAACTTATCGGAATTTCATAATTACATTTGGAAGATGATATGATTTAGCAAGTACGAGTATAGCTTATAGACTTGTAATGAAAACAAAGTTTTGTGTTTCTTAAGTTCTCCTCACAAATTGCAGGTGTGACAATAAACAATAGATATCTCTGAGTATAAGTGTTAATATTTGTATTTACACCGACTTTTTTTAATCTACAGGTGATCATACGTTTCGTCTTCACCATTATCTTCATAATACTATCTTTGGTTGCTGTTTTGCTATTTTTCATTGATCCGTGGAACTTTCAGAACAAGCCTTACGACAACATTTTAGATATCACTATTGCATATATATATATATATATATAAAATATTTATATTAAAATAAATTACCATATAAAATTATAATATAAATGACACTCATTACATTTTATTAAAAACTAATTTTAATTGCATTTCGCTTAATCAAAGCATACATCAACTCAATAAATAAATTATATGTAATTGCGGCCAACATAATTGAAATTCTTTTAATAGTAAAAATGCTTATTAAATACCGCATTTGTAACCGCTGTGAAAATTAAATGGTATTTAGTATATATTATCGGTAAATCAAATAATTTTATAATTTTTCTTTTTAACGACTAATATCTGTGTTAAATTGACCTAAAAACTCTAGTATTTTTTTTTATAATTCATTCAAACAAATAATAATTTAAAGTTTATAGTGATTTTATAAATACTACAAACAAAGTTGTTTGTACATAAAATTATACTAATTTATGACTTGTATTTTAAATTCAATTTACACATTTTTAAAGCGTAGTGTGCTAAATAGTTATGAAATATAATAACTTTAAAAATTTAAATAATTTTAATGAAACTGAAAATAGTTAATAGTTAATGATTTTTATTATTCCCTCTAAACGCTTCAGTAAATTCTACGTCAACTATTGTCTCCCATATTATTAATACTTTCTTTGTAAGTAATTTGGTTTCTTAATGAGTTTTACTCCGCCTTAGAATTTCAAGCCGTCGCAAGTCGTAAACAAGCCTTTCTGCAGCTGGAACCTCTCGCAGCTCTAATATAATTCCAATTTGTTAGTAAAGCGTTAGGTGAGTATGTTGTGCGTTAGGTAAGTAAGAGGCACACCTCTAAATAATTTCCGGTGTACCCTAGAAAATCATTGAGCTCGAAATCACAATATTTGATTGACTCCAAATATTTTTTTTCTATTGTTTTTGTGGCTCTTGTCGTTTTTAATTAGCGGAAACAGTTCAATGCATTAGTTTTTTGTTTTTTATTTTGTGTATGAACAAACAATTTATTTATTTATAGTTTCTATATATACTAAACTACAAATGATCTTTCTTACTTTAAGTCTGAGATCATTCAAATCTTAAAACAAGAACTGCAATTTAAAGATATGTGATTATATAAACGTGAACTGACTCATACTTCCATTATAAATATTGTATTATAGTTTAGATTTTAAGGTAAATTGTCTGGTATACTTCATTAAAACGTCAAACAAATGATACACTTTATAGTTATGATTATATTATTATTGCATGAACTGTTTTCTATTATTGTTTTATTTTTAATTAATTTTGAATAAATATTTTAATAATGTTATTTATTCTACCAGTAGTAGTAATTTAGTAAAGAAACAAGAGAAAATACCTTCATAATACATTAATTTTAATGCACAATTAACAGTTTCCCTTTTCTTGTTTTTTTTTAATTTTATTTATAAAATAATATAATAAAATCTAAATTTAAATAAAGTTTATTTTGCGTCTTAAAATTTTATTAAATCAATAAATTAATCAAAATTATGCATACAAATATACTTTTTTTTCGGCAAAAAGTTTTCTAATTCTAATGAATTGCTTTACTTAATTGAGTTCATATCAATTATGAACTAAACTCACTCACTCCATTCACACTTACTATCAGTACTTAACTTTACTCACTTACATATATTCATTTATATTGTACTAACTAAAATCAAAGCAATAGGACGATATAAAATAAAAAAATAAAAAACATATATATATTAAAATATATATGTAATATATATATATAACGTTGTATTATATAATATAAATATAATATAATATTATATAATATAAATACAATATAATATTATATGATATAAATATAATATTGTATTATATAATATAAATATAATATTGTATTATATAATATAAATATAATATTGTATTATATAATATAAATATAATAATTATATATATAAATATAATATTATATTATATATAATATAATATATATATATATATATAATATATTATATATATTATATAATATAAATATAATATTATATTATATAATATAAATATAATATTATATTATATAATACAAATATAATATTATATTATATAATATAAAGTAATAATATATAATAAATAAATAATATTGTATTCTAAGAAATAAAATAAAATTGATAAATCATAATATTGTAATAAAGAAAAAATTAAATAAAATAATAAAATACCTAGAAAACAAAAGCTAGTAACTAAAAAAATAAATTGGTTTGTATGCTAGTAATATAATAAATAAGACAAAAAGATAAAAAAAATTAAAATCTTTTGTTTAATATAAATTTTATAAAACTAACTCTATGTAAGAATTCACATGGAATATATATATATTTAAATATATGTTTCATATATTTAAACCAGAACTTTACAAATTTTTATTGTTGATATGTGGTAAGTAAATTTATATAAAGTTGGAACTCTGTCAACAAAATTATTCTTTATTTTTAATATACCATAGAAATACAAATATTTCCCACAAAAACTTCTATCTTGCATAGAAATTTCAGTGTACAAGTATTTTATTTACAAATGAAATATTCCATTAACTTTTACATATCACAACATAAAAATAAAAATAAAATAAAAACAACTAGAAATTATTGTACTTTCATGACAAAAACCTATATACTCGTATATATAAATATTTCCCTTAAAACTATTTGCGAACAAAGTTCATTATTTCAAATGAAGTTCAGTAAATTATTTTAAATACTTTCATACTTCGTTATAGTAAAAGCAAATGCAAAACTTTTTATCGCACAAAAATTTATCTCTTCATATGGAATTTATATAAATGTACTTATAATTTGATAACTTACATCTGGATGCTCTCTGACAGGCACATATACTTTTTCATTTAATGTGATGGGGGCGCCTTCTGGTTCTGGTAACATAAGTGGTTCCTTTTTGACGCCATTTATTTGAAATAGTGAAGCACGAACACGCGCAATTTCTATAAAAAAAAAATAGATAAAAAAATAAATATTAACTTAGTATCTCTATTAAAAATAAATTATAAAAATTAAAAAATATATATTTCTAAATTTTGTTTTTTTTTTTTCTTTAATTACGATATCAAGCATATGAGTGCTATGAACCTTTGACACTTGACAGAGTATGGCAATTTTGTTTGCTGAAATCAAGGTGCCTACATTTTGTGTTAAAATATTTTTGTTTATTTATTGAGAACTTTAACACGTTTTTGCTATTTTAGTATTAAATTTGATTATAAATAAAATCTACCGTGATGCTGTAAAGTGTTTGAAATACACGCTCTGAAGCCAGCATCAACAAAGATTGCCGCATGTCTAAAGTTTAAACGCCTCTTAATTTTCCAATGCAAACTAATCATATTGTAAATATGTATTTGGCAGCTATATCTATCTATTTGTCTGCGTTTTCAATAAATAAATTATAGAAAAAATATTGGATTGTTTTTATGTTCACTGGTCAGCAACGAACAGCATTACCGCCTTAGTATTTTTTTTTTTTGCAGATGAACATGTAAATGCAAAAGCTGCACCAATAAATTTGTTTTATTTGAATTAATGTTTAATTTTTGTTTTAGATTTTTATGATTTATTAATAAATTTATTTTACATAATAAATTTATTTAACAATTTGAAAATGAATAAAAATATTAAACAAATATACACAGCTTAAACAAAAACAAAACCCTTTTTTATTAATAGTAAACATGCATAGTTTACACACAAATATGGCATTTTTCATCATAACTTAAAAATATCTTAAAATCTAATGAGTTAAGTAATTCAACAAGTTGAACAAATAAATATATAAAGAAAAAATACAGTACTACAACACAAACAAAAGCTGACCTCAACGTGTTGACCCGTAATCTATCTACACAATTGGTGACATTTTACAAGTGATCGCAAAATGTGATATAACTAATATCGTGTCCGAACCGATATTTTTTTATACTTTTCAGCAAATGATTATGCAGCTGCATGCCACTGATGTTATCATTAATCATTGCTTTTATTTTAATATTTTCAATTAAGTTGAAAACTATGAATAGATAAAATAGTACCAAAGTCATAAAAACTGAAAAAGTGTTATTAATATTTAATATAATGACAGATTGCACATAAGAGATTTTTATCAAAACGGATTTATTTTAATTGGAATTAACTCACGAAACATTAAATATTCTTATATATAAATTAAATAAAATTTTTAATGATCTTACTACTTCTTAGTACTATTTAATTAGTACCTAGATTAATTAAGAAGTTCATTTAATAATAATGCAAATATTCGATAACTGTCTTTCTTCTATAAAGCAATACAACTCAAAAGTTTAAATCATTAACAATATTAATTTAATAAAGAGGTTTTCGAACAGAAGTGAAATAACAACAAAAATTTATTTTTTAAATTATTTTAATTAATTGAATTTTTGGCTGACCATACAGCTGTTTCGAGTATTGCCAAATACCCTTCATCAGTGGTCTTGGAAATAATTCTTATATTTAACTATTCGTAAATAATTATTTTTGAGACTGCAAGTACCAGGAATCGAACTCGGGTCCTGCCAAATATGAAGCTCAGAATCAGCGCACCTTAACCAACTGATCCAAAGCCGTACTTGACTTTTTATGTTCGCATATTTTTGCTGGTGTTGTGTTACTTTTGCTATGAAAGTTTTTATTAACAATTTTACTTGCTGTATTTATATATTCGAACGAAATCATAAACCAGCTGTAGAATAATTGAATTAATTAATTAATTATATTCTTTATTTTTAATTGTTAAATTTCAAAACTATTCTATTCGTAGAGGCATTATTTGTTGCATGATTTGTTCTTTCTTATGTATAGAACCTAATCTAGGAACGTAATGCTGAGAAAGTCATGCTAATGTTACTCCACTAGTCGCACGGGCGAGAACCAATATTAATTTAATATATCCAATCATTAGTATATAATACAATAATTTTCATTTATCTATTCTATTTGGTTAATATATATCTTTATCACACAAAATTATTGTCAATGCACAACATTTACGCCTAGTGCTATTAATCCATATCCCCACAAGTATTGTTTTTTTAGGATTTTTGATCCTACTGTTTTGTTTACAGTTTAATTGGTAAGGAGGTGGGGGGTGTGGAGTGAAGTCACAAATATTTTTGTAAAGCTAAAGCTTCAAACATTCAAAGTAAGGACATATGTAAATTAACATTTAACAGCGTACAAATAGATAAGATGATTAAAAATTTTACTCTGCACATAATCATAAAAAAGTGCTGGTGTGCTTTAGTCCCATCTTTACAAATAGTGTTTAATCTCAGTTTAGATATATTTAGACTAAAAAAACCTGTGTTTTTTATTGTGATATAATGAAAGTATTACTTCTTTAACTTTAAAACAATTAGTACTTTAACAATTCTTTTTAAATAATATAACAATATAATATATCAGTAGTAAATCTAAATCAGTAGAATCGTTATTTTTATTAGTTCGAAAGACTTAAAATTGACCTATATACAGAGTAAGTTATTAGTAATACTGACAGTGACCTCATCTTTAGAATTGAATATTTTTATATCTAACTTGAAGAATAAGACAATGAATATAAACAATTAGTTTAATATACAAGTATATGCACATTAGTAAATGAAATTGCTCAGAACTGTAAATTTATAATACTTAGACAAGCAATTACATATGTCAAATATAACTCAACCAGTATATAACATATAATATTACTAACTATAAGAAAAAGAAACAAACTGACAATTCTGACAACAAAACAAACAATTGAACTGAATAATGAACATGACTTTTTCTTTTTTTTTAATTCTTCTCTATTTTCTTTTTTTTTTATAATAAAAATGGAGCATTTTAAAAATTTTTTCTTAATAAATGGCATTTATCTAGAAAATGCACAAAACTATGACAGATGTCTGGTGCAATTCAAGAATGTGTCAACAAACGAGTCTAATGCTACCAGTAGAAAAAACAGCAGCGACAAGTGCACAACACCAGAAATGGATGGATGAGTAGGAGCAGGAGCAGATATTCATAGATATTCATAGATAAAAAGATACACAATAGACAAGTGGAACGTTCGAACTTAACTCATTGAAATGGATTTATTTAACAGAAATAACAGATTAAATTTGTACGTGATCTATCTCAACTGCTTAGTAATAAAATTTTATCTCCATGGGATTAGTCATCGCCGACGCCAATATTTTGCTGCACTTACAAATGCTGATCTTGCTGGTGTTGCTGGGTATTGACGTTGGCAATGCAATTGCCGGTTTCTGCACAGTAGCAACAGAAATTTATACATTTGCAGCTATAATTGAAATTAAATTGTGCTTTTAGAATAATTACAAATTTAATGTGTGGTGTTTAAGCTCGAATGCGTTATTACTGGTTCGTATTAATTAATGAATACGATATGAAACCAGCACTTTGTAATTAAGTCACTTTCGCGACAAATTGAGAAATGGAAAAATTAAATAAAAATTAACTTTAAATTAAGTTGTGAACATGTTCAACATCCATATTAGGAGAGGTAGGTTACTTGGCTCATTCATTGGCTATTTCAATGTAGGCGATTCTAAAAGGTAGGCGTTAGATGGGTTTGTACAGGTTGTTTTTTGTAAGCAATAATTTAGTTTAAATTTTACAATGAAATCTACATTTTCTACTTATCTATTTAAGCACTCATTCATATAAATTTCTTTGGTGTTTTGCAAAGTTACTTATAAGCTTCCAAATAAAGAGTTCTTATGTACTTTTATGGCAACTGTTCATAATCATTTCAATGTATTTAATGATAACGAAATATGTATTTTATTGGTATTAGATTTTTAATTGTTTTTGTTGTTATATTATTACCTTTTTCAATGAATACGAATAATATATGTGTTTTGCCATTTTAAATAATAATTTTCATTATTAATCTTTGTTATATGTTTTTTTTTTTTCTTCTAAGTTTGTATTTTGCGGAGGTTTCTTTTTAATGCAGCCAAGTAATATTTTACAAAAAAGATAGCGTGTTTTAATACTAAAAATTGGTTGTTGCTTTGTGTTCTAAAGCAACAGTCGAAGGTTGTTTACCCTATTTGGTCTGCATACCCAATTTGGCAACGTTTATAGTTTTGTAGAATACAGCCATTTACATATTAATGCATATTAATATGTATAGATGTATATTGGTACATTTTATAAGCAAAAGCCATAAAATATTTTTTAATTTTTTTAATAATATTTAATATTTTTATGGTTTTAATGATGATTTCGTGCATTAGAAATGTTTTCTTTAGATATAAACTAATGATGAAACCTAGGAGCATAAGTTGCGTGCTTTGATGGGTGTTTAAAAATTGATAATTAGATATAATTGCGCGAAATTTCAAAGAAATAAAATAATCAATGGAAAGAACAAAATCGGTAATTCGATTTATTTGAAAGTTTTTCATAAAAACTGAAAGAATTTCATATAACAAAAAAGGATGTGAATAATTATTAAAAATGGTTAATGTGCATGAAAAAAACTGGAAAAATTTAGGCAAATTTCATATTGCAGAAAAGTGAGAATTAATAAATATTAAAGCGCAACATGGCGTATGAGTAACAACAATATATTTTTTCCTCAATACATTAAAAAATTTTATTTAGTATATGTTTTACATTAAACAAGACTGTGATGACGCACACCTTCTTTTACTATAATAGGTGGCTCACAAATAGAGAAGAGATAATAGCGCAGATTGGACCTATAAATTCCGAAAATATAGTGGAAAAGATGAAAGCGAACCCAGAGAGTTCGCGAACGATAGAGTCATATATGATTCAAGTTCTCAAAACGATTAAATTAGATCTAGAAAGGAGAACTAGTATAAGAAATATAATAAATAGAATGGGCACCAAGAAAATGCGGCGAAAAGTGGTGAAAATAAATTATATCAAT